GATCGGTAAGTTCTACAAACACAAGGAAGCATCGCGATGCAGAACATAGGTGAGGACACCTTAGATGTTTCTCACCCGATAATCAATCACCCGATAATCAATCACCAGATAGGTAATCAATGCTTTTATACAATGATAGAAATGTGCACAATCTTCCCTCACTGCTATGGCCACGTTGCCCTGACAAGGGGGGGGGGAGGGGGACCTTCATCCTCGTTATGTGACAACGCTGCATCTTCACCATGTGCAGGACATTGCTGGGGGGACATTTTGGGCTGGGCGGCGGTCCCGGACTCTCCCATGGAACGGCTTCCTGACACTTCCCATTGACATCAATGATCTGGGGGGACGGCACTGACTGGTGATTGGAGCGATTTGTAGCGTGTGCGGTTGTCGTATGACCGTATCACATGACTACCATCGCGTCCCCACTGATCACTAGGACTCCCCTTCGTGACGGGAGACGTACAGTGTACGTCCTGTCACTTTGTGCCTATATGACTGGCCACGTACACCGTACGCGACGAGTTCTATCAGGCTTTGTAATGCCGGTATTTGCTGATTCTCAGTATTGAGGCATTAATTAATGGAAGAATGAAGCCGTTACATGCAAATACGGGACTGCAATCTGCGATCCCGTATCTGACAGCTGAGAGAGCAGAGAGGCAGCGGAGTGACTCGCCTCACCTCTATGCTATTTGTTTTGACAGCTCAGAGCCGATGTTTAGATACATTTCACTGAAAGGATACAATGTATATCTTTAGAGTGAAATGTATCGGTTCTGATCCTCTAGGCACAGATCAAAGAGCTTTCAGGGAGATCTGAATCTGACTAAAGTCAGGATCGGTCTCTGAGGTTATTATTAGCTGTTCCTAAGTTCGGATCAGCCTAATAATAGCCAAAAATAAAATAAAAAAGTTAAGTTATCCGTCATAGTGACCGATATAAACTGACAAGGGAAAAAAAAAGTGGTTTTTTAAAAAAAAAATTTTTACAAAGTGTAAAACAAAATTAGGAAAATATAAATGACATATAAATATATTTTTTATACTATAATTAATATAAAAAAATTCTAAAAAAAATAATAATCAAAACTTGTGAAAAAAGTGTTTTCTTCTAGTTTTTTTTCCTCATTTTTTTTTTATTTTATTCAAACTAAGTGAGGCGTCAGGTACACATATGTGATATAATTATGTAGCCCGATCTGTCCTCTAAACTATATATAATATGTGTGCGGGTGCATTTAGTAAGAAAGTATATTACTGACGTGGAAGTATCACGCAGCAACAATGTAAAAAAATGTGTCAGTCATTTATGAACAGAACCTGAAAACTAGCTCAGTCATGAAGGGGTTAATGCTGGAAGACGTTTGCCAGCGCGCTGGATGGCGTCACGTGTGAGTATTTGCTGTGCGTGGAGGAAACCGTCAGCTGCGTTTGTGTCTTTGTCCCGCAGGCATGGTGGACTCGTCGATGATGCCAATCATGGGTTACCTGGTGGATCTGCGCCACATCTCGGTCTACGGCAGCGTCTACGCCATCGCTGACGTGGCCTTTTGTATGGGCTTTGCGTTGGGTAAGTGTCGCGTCACCAGAGACGTCGCCGGCGACTAAAACCCAACAAGCGCCGCTTATCGCCACCAGATATTTACACAGCAAACAGGCTGCGAGCGGACGGCCGAGGAATCACCGCACACACGTGTTCCCGTTCCCACAGGGGGAGACTAGTGATGGGGTGGTCATTTCCTGATCTCTGCAGCTGCGGACCGGGAACATGTCTCCGTGCCTGTGATTGGCGCCGCGGCGCTGACGGCTTCCCCCCCGGGCCGGCCACAATCCTCCCACGTACCGATCTTCCTTTGTCTGCACACGCAGGGCCGTCTGCCGGCGGCGCGATCGCCAAATCCATCGGATTCCCGTGGCTGATGACGATCATTGGAATGGTGGACATCGTCTTCGCTCCTCTGTGTCTGTTCCTCAGAAGTCCTCCCGCCAAGGAAGAGAAGATGGTGAGTGCAGTAGACTTTGTGCGCCGTCAAAAAATTTGTTCCGTTACGTTTCGGAATATTCGTAATTTCGTAATTCGTGTCCGTAACTCAATTCGGATTGGTACGAAATACGGATTTTCGTTAGTTTCGGCACATTTTCGTAACTTTACGAACATTCGTTATGATGAAGTTAAAAAGCAGAAATACCTTTGTTAATATCGGAGTCGATGTGGTCGTTGTTTTTGTATCCGAAATACGAATTCCGTTAACGGATTCCGGATCCGAATTTCGTATTTCAGATAAAAAAAAACTTCCATCAACATATAAATGTACTTTGCTTTTTACCTTCAATATAACGAATGTTCGTAACGGAACGAAAATACGTCAACGGAGTTTCGTATTTCCCGCCTGTGTATTGTGATGCGACTCTCAGCGGCAGCGGATCCGTATCTCGGATTAAAAATAAATCTCGTCACGTTGTTCCTCATTTACAGGGGAAATATTAGTTCCCGTTTCAGAAAAATTCGGATCCGAAATTCGTTAACGGAATTTCGTGTTTCGGATATAATTCGGATTTCGGATGCCTCCGAATTTACGAATTTCGATTGGTAACGAAACGAATGTCACATGTCTAGAGTGCAGAATCTTCCATAGAGGAGCGTTAGCTTCCTTCCCAGACACACAACACGGACCCGTCGTCGCTTCCCACCGGCCGCCATCAAAGGCGCCGAAACGTCAGTCTCTCAGTGGTGGTCTATCGGTAATGAAATGTTTATCTCCACGCAGGCGATCCTCATGGAGCAGAACTGTCCGGTGAAGAAACGCATGTACACGCAGAGCAGCACGCAGTCCTATTACGCCGCCGCCGCCGAGGAGTCAGAGAGTGACGGATGAGCGCCGACCCGACTTCCCGCCGCTAGTTGTTTCCACATTTCATTGTCGTATCATTTCTCTGTCAGTGACATAGTAACAAGCCAAAGGTCCCGGAGCCGCGACTATCACACGGGGGGGACGACTGAGGACCCGTGACACAACACGTACAGCGCCGCAGTGCACACAC